GAAAGAGATAAGTTGGGTTTTATAGAAGAAAAAAAAGCGATGGGTTTCCTAAATATTTTTTTTTTGTTAATTTAAATAAATTGAATTTTGGACCACGGGGAAGAAGGCATAGCCGTAATTTAGGAACTGTTCGTTCTTTAATTAATTATATTTTTAAAATATCCAGATTTTGTAAAGAATATACGAATAATTTAAAAAAATATGTATTTTCTGTCGCCAGTAAAAATACGAATTTCTAAATTAGCACGTGATATTTTAAAAATGGCTTTATATACCGTTTTGGAGGAACCGAGGATACAATTTAATCATTTAATTTTTATTTATTTATATAATTTAAACAATTATTAACAAAACGATATAGTATATTATTATCATTAAAAATGTATATTGTAATTACAGAAAAAAAAAATTATGTAGTAGTAATGGATAAAAGAAAACCTCTGGTTAAAGGATTGCGGCAGTAATCAATTAATTAAGCTTAGAGTTAGCACTTAATTAACTAGCACTAGAGCTTTGAAGGTTGACCCTTTGACTTTCCCTCTCTACGTGTGCTACCATCACTTGGTTTCTTTTGAGCATCTTTTTCCATTTTCCTCCTCATTTGAAACAAGTTGCAACTTTAATAAATATATCTGTATTCTTTGTTATCCTTTTTATTATATATATATATATATTTGTCCTCCCTTTGTTTTTGTCATTTCTTTTCCATGGACCGACCATACAATACAAGTCCAAATTTCATTGTATAGAAAACGTTTTAAATTTGACTTTTTCCATTATCGTTTTTTGTTATATCTTAATTACTATTTGCTACCACTATTTTTTAACATATAATGGCATATAAACTAGCAATATCAAAATAAATAAAACTACCGTTATAATATTATTAACCGCTTAAAATTTTACTAGATTTTAAAAAAAAAAATTATATCAAACTTGATTAAGATTCATATTCTAACCATTTACTTCGAAAGAAATATAAACAAAAGCATTTAAAAATAATAACAACATGTTGTAGCCAATCTAGCACTATGGCCCTTACGAGAGGAATAGAAGTTGGACAGTTCTAAGGCTTCAACTTTTAGCTATAATACGAATTATTAGTTCCCGTTTTTAAAAGTTGTATTATACACATTAATTGTAATTAATGAATGTTGGACCACTCTCTAATCAACCCATAACTACGGGTCCCTAATCTTTCCTGAACTCAAAGCAATCGTATTAACCAGTATTAATCCTAACAACTAATTTGATACATCTTTTCCTTTGGGCAATTAAATGTAAATCTCAATAACGCAGGGCGCAGAAAACTAATTAAGTTTTTAATCAAATGGGTCTATTTTTTTTTCTTTTTCTTTTTACACAGCAAAATTAAGAAGGGTTCGTGTGTGTTAAATGCCAAAGCAAAGGTTAAGCTCGTAATAATCTCTTAAATACGTGAGCTCGAGTCTCTCTATCAATTGCATGTGTTTTTAATATTGATTAATTAGTGTATACAATTAAACATTTATTCGTGTAATTTAATCTATATAGTATTTTGATGGCATGAACATCACGTGATGTCGGGATAAAGCAATTGCAGTCCATGATTATCCCACTGTATGCATGTGTATATATATACATACACACACACACACAATATACCAATATGTGCATACGCACCAGCACACACAGACAAGAAACACGTACATATGCGTGTATATTATGTTTTAGTTCCAAACATGTCTTTGTTTTTGGAAACTACAACCCTTCATACTTTCCCTTCTTTACTTTTTTTTAAATAAAAATAACATTTTTTAAGGTCTTTATAAATATATATATATATATATATATATATATATATATAAACTTTATTATGCATGAATAACGTGGAAGTTCAATGCATAATAATTTCATCGTGACAGAAACAATTGGTTCCCTCTCTAAAATATATATATATATATATATATATATATATATATAAACTTTATTATGGTTATTGATTAAAAATCGGAGAGATAAAACATTATTTTAGAACTTCAATATGTAACAATTGTAACCAAACAGTATAGTTGGGGTACATAAAAAAAATACATATTAATTAACCAAGTTCACGTCTTAGAACATAAAATGAAATTAAATAAAAAAAAGAGAAAATATAATTAAATATGAATTAAATTTGTGTATGTAGTGTGTACATGCTCCCCCGGTTGGCTGCAAAATTAATTAAATATAGTTTATAATCACATAATTGCATTAGGTTTAGGGATGTAATTAAGTGAACAAAGTAAGAAGAGTCGAAGGGTCCCATCAACATAATTATATGCTTCAATAAGCTCACTTTAATTTTCTTTTAGTCTTTGTGGCCTTTTGCGATGATTGATGGATATAACTCATACAAATAGTCCAACTTTGTTAAATGAAAAACTATATATATACTGGAAATTACGTCAAAAATATTTTAAAAATCCAAATATTTATTTGAAAGTCATCAAAGATGTACATATGTGTGACCAATTTCCATATGTTTTACATCATCACTTATTATCTTATTACTTATTTTATACCATGATAATTATAGAATTTCATGTGTTGCGCGCGTTTATACTTTTTTACACCATTTCCTATAAATTTATCGTTGAAATTAATTATTCATGATTATCTCCTTCCGTGAAGCTTCTGTTTTTTTTTTTAATTTTATTCCAAGAATCAATACTTCTATAAAAAAAAAATTACAATAATTTTTCATTGTAATATTTATACGTTAACATATATGTAAAAGTCACTTTCGAAACTTAGATATCCAACATAAAGACAACACTTTGTTCGAACATTCTCCCAAAATCATTAGAAGAATTGTCTTAGTTGTAACCGTAATTACAATGGTTAAGAATAATGAGATTACTTAGTCAAAAAGGTTAAAGGCTTTTTTTCCATATTTTTTAAATGACAAATCCAGAGAGATTCTTCATCAACTGAAATTTTGATAGAAATTACATGTCTATAAAAATTTATCTTTAGATTTAAATGATGATTTTAATCAGAATAAAATTGTATTCATAATATTTTTTTTATAAAATTAATCTTTAAGGATATACATATGAAATATAGATTTTCACACTATAAATAAATTAAATTAAATTATTCTATTGTAACTGTGAAAATTTAGGAAGTTCTTGATCGCAGATGTAAGAAATTTAACCAATCAAACAATTACTTAAAAAAATAAAAAGAAATTGAAGGCGATCGAAGGTTTGGAGAGTTGGCACGTGTCCCTCTCTTTCATAAATCTATTTTCCTCCTCTAATTTCGATTGGTCGGTCCATTTCATAGTCGAATTAGGAAAATTTTGATTATATAAACAGTTTTTTTTTTGTTTGTGTGAAGAGGGTTCCATTTATATTATGTGATTTAGGCCATATGGTGAAACTATAAACAATGTGCCAAAGAATATTTGTGGGTATCATTAGTAGGCACGGATGCAAAGTAACCGCCTAGAACCACATACACGTATATATACGCATATATCCTTGTGTGTGTATATATATTGATATTCGGAAAATTTAATACCAATATATAAATGCCAATAGAGTGACTATCATTTAAAGTTACCGAAATTTTATATTTTTATTGGGTCCTCGCAATCAACCATAAATGTCAAAGGCGAGTCCAAAATTTTGAATTTAAGGAACATATATTTAATTATTTCAATATAAAAAATTCCACGTAAAAATGATTAACGAGTTCCAATTTCCAAAGTTTGGAACTAATTAATATGGGATATTATTAAAAAATAATCAAGATATTTTAACTATAACCCCTCGTATAGTGAACATTGAATCATTTCATATCTAAATCATTTTTATCAGGTGTTGTATTTAATGTAATGTAAAATTTTAAAAAAATTAAAAAATGCGTGTTTGGGATGAAAATCCAAGACACGTAATTAAATTTTTTTCTACAACCTATTTATTATTACGCTTTTATGCTTATTATTAAAAACACTTACCAAAAATAGTTTATATAGACGTGTATTAGTGTATATATATATAGTATTAACTTGAGCTCAAAACCCTTTACTATCCATGGCACTAAATCATGAATGTTATCCACAGTCAGGATTTCTCTTCACATTATTTATAAACAAATAGAAAATATTTAACATTGAATTCCTAATCAGCATAACTATTGCGGATATATTTTTTACAATTTGGGTATTTCACTTTTTTGCTCATGTTTTTTAAAATTTTATATTTATATTAATATATTTATTTTTATATAAAATTAAGGATGAAACGTCTTTGACCCAAAAATCTTTTTGATTCTTATTATTATTATTATTATTATTTTGTTCTTCTCGGTGTATTTTTGACCCTTTCCCGGTAGACTATGTATTGTATTGTATCTCTTTTTTGTATACACTATATGGTAATTAATTTGTTAGGTATTAAAATTTTCTTACAAATAATTATGCAAACCATTATTCTAAGTTTCATTTCACTGTTTCGATTTGTAAATAATTTATTAAAATTTAAATACTGTTTGTCAAAATGTAATTGGTTTTTTAGCTCTAGTTTAAAATAAATTACAGATTTTTTTCCATTTTACAAATATAGAATCCATATACACTTATCAAATCGAATCCCGAAATCTCT